TACTCCTGCTGTCTTCTCTATTGCCTTAGCTAACACTCTTGTGATTTCACCTCCTTAATGAGGTTATCAAGGTGCGGTTTCCAGAAACGGTCTCTGCCTATTATCTTTCTCATGTCAACTTTACAGTGCCTCGCTTAATACTGATTCCCAGCAGATGACTAAAAAGTATCCACTGTTAAATTCAATAACTTCTGGACAAGGCCAATGCTGTATTCACGGTGTGTGAGGATTAGATTACGGATGATAGTATAAACCACACAAGCTTCGATCTGCGGGTCATAGGACACGACTTAGTCTATATAGTCTGTGCAGTGGGCGGAGGGAGAGGTGTAAGGGAGCCATACTGGCTAAGCCACAGCGCTCCCCTCTCCACCACTTCAGATATTATCCAACACGCTGCTGGCCATCTCCTACGGGCCAGGCCCTGTACTAGGAAAGAGCTAAAGCTATAAGGAGACAAAGCATCCATAGCTTCTTTACTTGAGGAAGCAGATAAGAAGCCAGACCATGACTGTGTTGGACAGCACAATGTAAAGTCACGTATATTGGAGTTCATCTGTAAGAGCTTCCTGAAGGAGATAATGAAAGCGTTATCTGGGCAAAGAGGAATGGGAGGGCGTCGGAGGTGGGGTCACACGCAGAGGCAGGTACCCTTATCAGTGTGGTATAACAGGACACGTTCTGAGCTGGGAAACTGAGAGATGAGACCAGAGCACAGCGCAGAGAGCAGTCAGGAAGAGTCTTCATCTGTTTTGGTAAAAAAATTGGATTTTATCCTGAAGGCAGGATTTTATCCTGAAGACAATGGAGCACAGGGAAAGGAACCAGGTTCTTGAAGGAGCACTCTGACAAAATATGGAAAAGGGAAAGGGGAGATGCCGAATGAGGGAGACCTAGAGGAGTCAGTTGGAGAAAACACAGGGAACGATGGGGCTGGCTGGGGTGCAGGAACAGAAGCCGCTACACGGCTGGGAGCTCGACTGGACAAGGCAGTTGAGGGGATGGTGGGCATGGGGATCCCTGTGGCTCAGAGAACCCACTATCCATCCAAGGCCCGGAAGAGTAGGAAGACAGGTTTGGGAGGCAGGAGTCTGGTGAGGGGTCGGGGACAATGCTGAGTTCAGTTTGCACAGACTGTATGTGAGGCGCCCATGGGCCATGCAGGTAGAGAGGAAAGAAGGTTTGCACGTGTACATAGGGAGCTGGAGCTGAGAAATATCCATGCTGCAGATGCTGGTGCTCAACACATAGGTACCTAAGCGGGGAGGATCATGTTTTGTGGAGCCGAAGCCTTTGAGGGCCCAGTTTAAGAAAAATAATACCAATTATGAATGTAAAATTAGGCATGACTATGTGGGTCTTGGAAGGGGCTGTTCAGGTGAGGAGTCCTGGGCTTCAGTCTCGTTGGCTTTATGAAAACCCACCTTTTGCACTTTTGAGCTACCCATCTACTGGTTGGGGGAGCAAAATTCCTTCAAAGATAAAGGTTTGTTAAAATTCTTGTGAGCAACACTAACTAAAAATTCGAGGTAGGGAGAAAGTAGCAATGAATTAATTGAAGGAGCTAAGGACCTACCCTATTATGACCCCTTATTGCACTCTTTCTTAAAAAGTCTATCTTGAAAGCAGAATGATCTGGATGAGTTAAGAAACTTTTAGATCTGTTTTTCATGTGGGGCTGTCAGAATGTATCAAACTGCAAACTGAATGAAAATTTGAAGGCACAACTTAAGCAAAGACTGGTTTTCCATCTAGTGACCGCCAGAATAAGACAGTCCCTAAGAACATATGATCTAAAGCTCAACAAAACTATTCAGTCAGAACTTGGGGTGGGGAAGGAATCTGTCTAAATTAGTAAAACTCTGAATTAGGAAATGTTTTTGAATCACATTTGTTACTTTTGAGTCATGCAATTACTCAACCGTAAATCCATACCCTCTCCAAGAAAGTTGCAAATTGCAAATTAGGAGAGAACCAATAGCCAAAGTACTGTTGACCCCTGACAGACTACAAGAGTAGTGGGAGGTTGGTACTGAAGAACAAATAGATAAGGGCACTGGCACAGAGAATTATGAAAGATGAGGTGGCAAAATAATTCTGCATTTTAAGCTCACTGGTGGCAGTAGTAACACTGTCTGCTAGGGGTGTATCCTTGTGGCGAAGCCCAGTACTGAGGGCAGACAGGAAACAAAGTTGCTTTCAGAAATCTTGGCAAGTTCCTATTTATGCCGCACTAGAGAGCGTAGGCTTGTCTTAGCTTGAAGCCGCAGATGGGCAAACGCTTTTCAAATGAAAATGGAGAACCCTTTAAGTATGTTAAATTCACCTATCACACTTGAACTGTTATAAACACATATACTTAGAATCACCAATTTAAAAAAAAAACATAAGCAGACAATTGTGTAAATTAATCAGAGTACATATGAAGTATATATGCTAAACAAGGTTTCCTGGAGGGAAATATCAGACAAAATAAAATACGTAATGGTATTGAAAAGTGATCAAACTCGCTAAGTAAAGTGGAGTGGCAGAAAGTCCAGGGAACTTGCTAGGACAGGGAAGGGGAAGTGAACTTGAAGACCGAGGAAGGACTCTGTTAAGAGAGTCTTTATGAATATAGGAGTTAAGGAAACAATGAATTAACTTTTGTCACCAGGGAAACGGACAACTGAAGTGTATATCCCAATGATTTGCTAAGGAGTAAGAAAGGAAACGATTTATAGTATCAATTAATCCATTGCTTAACACATTCTTTCATGTTTGGAGTTGTGTTCTTTTACTCCTATTCCTATTAACCTGAAAAAACAAATATTCTTCCAAGGTTGTTAAGCTTCTTATAAAATACACAGCTGAGAGGTCAGGAAAGATTTTGAAAGGATTTCACTTTGAACTTCTTGCCTTGCCAGCTACAAACTCAAAATGGGATGTTTGCTACATGTGCAATGTCTGTTGTGACTTTTATTCTTTTCCCCAGTTTAGGTGGAAACATATAGAGCAATCCAACAAGTTAACATTTTGTAAATATTTTAGATCTGAGGCTTACGTTATTTTTCACTTTTAGCAGTTAATTTTTTGTGGCCATTCCTTCATTCACTCATACAAATTCATTTATTTAATAAATATTTACCGAGCATATATTATGTGCCAGACACTGTTCTAGGTGCTACAGCAGCATGTATCAGTGAGCAAATATGCCTTGAGAAAATGCACTGATGAAACAGTAATTGGGGGTGACCTGAGGTTATTCTGAGAGTAACATTTAAGATAAAATCTGGGTGATGATCAAGAGCCAACTCCCTTCAAAGATAGGGAGAAAGCCAATTCAGGTAGAGGGAAAGAGCTACTGCAAAGGCTAACCCAGAAAAACACTTGACCTGTTCCAGAAATCCAAAGAACTCCAGGAAGCTGCAATCTTTGAGATTCAGTTAGGAAGTCTGTAGAGACTGACGTGTAGGGGTTTGCTGGCCGAGTGAGTTTGGATTTCATTCTAAGTGCAATGGGGAGCTACTAAAGTATTTTAAGCAGGGGAATGCCATGATCTGATTTACATTTTAAGGCGTGCCAAGTGCGAGTCTGCAGTCACACAGCTGAACATGGCTGAGAAAACACACAAGCAGAGGACTGGGTCTCATTTTAACATCATGACCACCAACCTCAAGTGGCCCTCAATAATCACACATGTCCCTGGTCCATGAACTGCCTCCCTCATAGGCCACTGCTCAATATCACCTTCTCTCTGGAAACCTCACCTCTTCAGCCCTCCTTCACTCCTGCTGATGGCCTTGCTCTGACTTCATTGAGAAAATGGACACAATCAGAAGGGAACTTCCATAACCTTCCACGTCAACCCACACATCAGCATTTGTATCCAAAATGCCCCCCCCGCCCCCCCCAGGTCTCTCTAACTCCATGAGTCCTAGGTGAGGCCAACCACTTCACACGCCCTCCTCTTCGCTTCTCCAGGGCACTCTCCACGCTCACCAGTATCATCCATATTTTACCCCTGCTAGATCTCTACTGATTATCAGCATGGAAACCTGGCATGGGTTTTTCCGCATCTTAAAAAAGAAGGTCTTTTGACCCTATTTTCCATTCATGTGCTTGTAATACTCTAGCCATGCTGGTCTTTCTATAAGCACAATACAAGTACGTAGCTTGCAGCTCTTCACATGGTTCCCTCCCTAACTTCATTCTGGTTTCTGATCCCATCTCAAATCTTTCGAGATGGTGGAAGTATGATCCAGTTTCCCCCTCCAACTAAGCCGTTCTCTCTCCCTATCCTTGATTTTTCTCATCAGCACTTTTACTACTTGAAATTACCTGCTTATGTGCTGCTCCTCTCTTAAAATGTGAGCACCTGGAAAGCAGGAGTCTTTTATCTCCTCTAATCAAAGCACCCACCATACTACCTGGTATATTGTGGCCCGTTGATTAACTAGTTAAATCTCAGGAAACGATATCTGAAAGGGGAGAGAGGTTCAAAGGTGGCCTTCTCTTTTTTAATAAATGTAAAATATTAGAACATATTTTTATGCTGAGGGGAATAACCCTGTAGAAAATAGTTTGTTAATGCAGGAGCAAGGGGATACCACAGAAGGCAGACTATGTAAATATAGGCATATCGGTAGTCTGAAAACTGGAAAAAAAAAAAAGAGGATTTGAGATGTGGCCTCCATGAGTTCTATGCAAAACTATCCTTGGATTCCTTCTCTGCATATAGGAATGCCCTGTGATCTGGGAAGACACTCCACCCATTCACTGTTTGCATGACGTTGACCAAAGGTCTGTGGTACCCTGAATTTTGATAAATCTAGGCTTTGCAATAAAAAAATAAAAAAAATGTTCTTTTTTGGATAGCTAAAACATTAAAGCCCGAGTGATTTAAAAAAATAATAGCCTGCACATTTTTTCTAAGTACTGTAAACAAAGAATGACATTTTCATTAGTGCCTCTTTCTCTTTCAGGAACTATGTGAAAAACAACATTTGTTTTATGAGTCATCACCAAGAGGAATTAGTGCCAAAACAGCTTCAAAAAAGAAAACCCCAAGAGCAGCTATTGGAGTGTAAAAAGCTGTGTGGTAGCGGACAGCCAAGGCAGCTTTCTCCAGAGGTCTAATGGCCTCAAAACCTCACAAATGCTGACACAGTAAGAGAACACTCAGTAGGGTGTCTTCATACCAGTCTATGTTGGCCACTCCCATGTTTTGGCTTTAGTGCTATGGAGCTAGTTTTAAAGGGACACCCTGTAATTATAAAGATAACCTTTAATCCCCACCCACAACAGGTAAATGAGCTATAAAGTACCAAGTGATCTTTTTTACTCTAAGCAGAATACCATGTTGGAAAAAAAGAAAAAAATACTGGCTGGTTTAATGCTTTCTACCTTTTTCACAGAGCAGCCTTTGAAAGACTATGAACTAGTGATGAATCACCTTTTGCCTTAAGCCATTCGCAGCTTTATTATTCAGACATGTAAGTGGTCTAAACAGGAGCTTAGAGTTTTTTGTCTACTAAGACACTACTTGCACAGGGTCTTGTGTTAAAAAAACAACAACAAACCACGACATAATGTGGACAACTGCACATATGTTCTAGATTAGGATAGGGTCCTGGCTCGGATTTTAGCGATAATTCCTAATTACAGTTTAATAAGTACAGAGTGTGTATCTTATTTTACGAATCATGAACTGTTATATAATATAATGCAAAATATTTTTTACCAATTTCATATTAGTATTATAAAATATTGTAAGAAATAATTCTGCAATAGTTGAAAAAAGTAAGTATTTTCCCATCCTTTTAAAAAAATATGAATAGAGAAGACAATTTCAAAATCCTGGGACCATATTTATTTAGAAATAGCTGTTAGTAAAACTCAGGAGTCAGGCCATTAGGTTATTTTTCCAAATCTCTAAGCAATTAGGTCTGGCTTATTAGGCTAAGCTTATAAAATTCTCTTTGTATGGCAATCATAACTTAACAGCGACCCAGTTTCCTGCAATTCTTTGTACTCCTCAGGCTTATCACTACCTCAGGTTATGGCATACAGGCTATAATCGATGCTGACTCTCAGACGACTGCAGACATCATCAATGACATTAGGACATCAGGACAATTCCCTACGTTCTTCTCTATGATGGAACAGATGGCCAGCTGTACCAGAAACTTGGGTTTTCACCCACACAACAATGGGTTGCTCTCGTATTTCTCCAGTTGAATTTAAGACTTGGTGAGGCATTTCACCCACAAAATTTGGATATGACAGAAAATCTACAATAAAGAATCTCAAACCACTTAAGTAGTAACCCATTAAATTACTAATATTATAAGCTATGGAAGATATAAAAAACAAAGTATGAACAATCTAACTTGACAAGGAATGCAAAAATAGGTTATATGATTAACCTGAAGAGAATCCTAAAAATCAAAACCCCTTTTTATTCAGCTTGGAATGCTCCTACTGGCCCAAAACAAATGTCCTAAGTTTTATATAAGGGTATAGGATATATATTTCCTTGTAACAAAATGGAAGACTTTAATCGATGCAAGGAATAGTAAAACTGTATTATCAGATTGAGAAGAATGATTAAATGTCCTGGTTCTGAAACGTACTATCTCAATTTTGAGGAAAGGAGGGGAAACTTTTGAGGAAGGGAGTTTTGAGATCTTAATTTTGCCATGGTTATTTGATATGCAAATCAGAGCATGCAATGTTTTTATTCATTTGTTTTGGAAGGAAAAGGTAAGGTGTGTTCTGTAGTGTTAATTTAAGAAATTCATTATGAATCTTTGGTGGAATTATGTGCTGAGACTTTTTTAAAAACCGAGACAGGTAATCATGAAATTTTTTTTCTCTGCCAAGCATCACAGAATGAAGTTCAAACACTACATATACTTTAGCTGTTTCTTGGTTTAGCCATTCGTTGTCAATTGGCAGGAAACTGTATATAAGCCTATTAGGTTTATTACTAGTGATTTCAACCTCAGTGTCTTAAAACACTTCTATTTTTCTTTTATAATCCTGTCTATACCTAAATAATTCTGTCTTCACACTAATTTTTACACAATGCACCTCCAATCAGAGCTGTGTGATTTTCAAAAATAAAAAAGGGGGAATACTTAAAATTTGTATGTATATATTCACAGTTTTTATTTATAAAAAAATTTACAGCACTTGTGAAAAGCCAGCAGAAGACATCAGGCACGCTCATTTCTTACCAGCTTTGTTAAGTTTTGTAGGTTATTCGTGACACTTTGCTAGGTAATGCTCATGTAGCAGCCCTGAAACCAGACCCGGTCAGATTGTCTTTCTTCCTCTTTTCTGAGAAAGCATTTTGACGAGCTACTGATCTACCTACCTAGTTTTCAAGTCACTCGAATACTGAAAATGTTAGGACATTTTGGACCTATACCTCGGCCATATAATCATGTTTTCCCCCCTTTTCTATATCTCTTTTTTTGGGACACAGCAAAACAAGAGGTCACTTATTAATTACTGTCAATTAAAACTAAGTGGAAAATCTCAAAAATTTAAAGATCTTCTCAGAACCTGTAGCTTTTTCATTGAATTTCATTCTCTATTATTTTATGAGGTTATCTCTTCTACTGGAACTTTAAATGAAGCAAATAAACACAACTTAAAAAAAAAGAGAGAACGGAACTCTGAAAATCACAATCAAGTCTTTCACAAGAAAGAAAATATAAAAGTTAGCCTTTGCCCCCTGCATATGAGGGAGAGGCAGGGTAGGGGAAAGCATCAGGAAGATAAAAATAAACATAAAATGGTATGTATTTTTCAGTGCAGTGCTTAAGCTAGGTTTTCAAGACTTTATAACATGGTAAGGAAAAAGAATATGGAGGTTAAGATGTTGCAATTTTTCACAGAGGTTTCAAAACATTTTGGAAATTCAGGTTTTAGTGGAAAATTGCGTTAGAATATTGTCTCTCCTAACTGAGGCGCTTATTTGACTCTTCACTCAGTTTTATTTCTAGGTAAAATCACTGTTGGTTGTACCAAACTCCTAAACGCAGCGGCACAGCAAAACAGCAGCTTGATCTGGTGTCGACATCCGGGGCTCCTGGGTGCCCAGACAGCCACTGCTTCACCAATGCATATGTATTGTCACTTTCAGAGTAGACACCCGTATACTGACTAGTCACTCTTTAGCTCCATTAAATAAGACACAGTATGGGGAGAGACATAGCTTGCAAAATGGCTTTGAAGTTCAAGTTGAACTATTATAATGATACTGTGGCACAGAGGCAGCTTGTGGACACTTCTTGTTAAAATAGCACAATACATCAACTTCTGACAAGACTCGTACTATAGCCTTGAGTACCAACCTAGATTATTACTTCCCTACAACAAGAGTTGAGTCTTTCCAGAATAACAAAGGTACATATCAGTTACAACCCATCACAGCTTCTTTCTCATATCCGTCTTGTAGATAAGAGGTTTCTCTTTTTAAAACTACAATTCTGTAACTTTTAAAAGATATTTAACATTTTCTACCATTAAATTAGCAACATAAAACATTATGCTTAATCTATAAAGTTCTAGTCCATTTCCCTAGAATTTATATACATGTTTTTATTTCTAACTTGCAAGAAAAAAATCCTATTTGATATTTGGTAACAGAGCATTAAAAGACTATATACATGTGGCATATATATATATATATATATTTACAAAATACACTTCAAAAAGAAGCCAACACACTTTAGCAAAAGTCTAAGCTTGCATAGATTAAAAAAAAGAATTGTGAATACAATTTTTATTAAAATAGAAAATGGGGAATAAAAGTTATAGAATGGATATGAAGAGAGACCTTTTCCAAACTTTTATTTGTGCACATTCAATTGAAAAAGATAACTTTTACAGGTTCTTTGGTGCCCATATTCAGCATACAAAAATGTAAAAGACTATTCACAAATAAAACACATTAGCTCAAACTGGAAAAAAAATAACAACAAAACAATTTAAGGTAGTGCACACTGTGACAGCTCTGCTTATGGGGACATGAGAATTACTGCGAAAATAAATAGAATGTCTTTTTGTAAAAGCAGCAACGTCATGTCTTGTAAACTTCCTTTTTATATTACAGCAAGGTCTGAAATAAATTCCAAAGGGACTGGTGCTTACACTGTAGCCGTGAATGCATAAAAGAGTCTATTTCCTCAATTACTGTTGGTCCAGTTTTCCTTTTGAGTCTAATGTGCAGCAGGTTTAAAAGGTGCTCAGTTAGGGATTCTAACCAATTAAGTGATGAATTATAAAATTTCTTTCCTGCTTTCAAACACAAACGGGTAAATCTGTTCCACAGCAGTAGCAACAGCCTTTACATTGGGCCCTGTAACAAACACAATGAAGGAGGGGTGAGAAGAGGCAGAGAGAGCACCTGTCAGAATAAACAATGTCCTAGCAGTGTGGGGTTCGTTGTCTTAAAAAATCTATACTGACATAATTATACACACAGTCATATTAAACACCACGAGAATAACATTTTCTTCTGGACAATGAAAAGCAATCTGAAACAAAAATGATGGTATTCATCTTGTTTTGGGGCACCAGTGTGAAAAGTGTATTTAAAAAAAATGCACACAACCTATCTCGGAGGAGGAGGAGCAGCGCAGTAACAGGCTTATTAAAGGAAGAAATGGCCAAGGGGATGAGACAAGTATTGTCCTTTTGGTCACTGTAATCTAGCTTTTGGTTAGGCTACGGCTGACGCTCCCAGGGATATCGAGGAACACAGCGGAGCAACACAAAGCTGCTTCCTAAGTGTTGGGAAGCCGGAGGCTGTTACAGACTACACGATCTAAAAATGCTCAGATTTACGCCTACTTGGCAGCAAAATGTTTACTACTGATCTGGCCATCTCACCTTCACAGCTTACTCTGTCAAAAAAAAAGCACAAGGGAATGAGGTGACGCTATATATTAATTTACATAACACTATATAGTATTCATTTATATAATTTATATTCCTCCATAGAAATAACTTTTTAAAAATGTAACCTTTCATTTAAATAGCTCAAAAGCAACTCTTAATACAAATGGACAATAAAAAATATTTTCATAAAATCCATTTTGAATAAACATGGTTTCACCAACAGATACCTCCTCTGCAAGATCCTGAAAACCTACACATGCAGCCACCGTGTGCCCTTTGATGGCACCCGTCACATCTTATCCTGCCCTGCTCCTTCCTGACTCACCTCTCCCCCTCCACAGAGGACAGTGCTCTGTCCACGGGAAACACTGACCATGTGTTTCCCGAATTGGTAACATGTCATGGAATATTCCAGATGTAACTATATAACGCATAATAATGAACCAGGTCAAGTTCGTTACTGTGTTAATTATCTATTGACTCAATAAAGGTAGATTTTCCACATGTATTGGTTTACTCTAGACCAGCGGTTCTCAACCTTCCTAATGCTGCGACCCCTTAATACAGTTCCTCATGCTGTGGTGACCCCCAACCATACAATTATTTTCGTTGCTACTCTATAACTGTAATTTTGCTACTGTTATGAATCGTAATGTAAGTATCTTTTTGTTTTCCGATGGTCTTAGGCGACCCCTGTGAAAGGGTCGTTCGACCCACAGGTTGAGAACTGCTGCTCTAGACATAAAAGGGACCTATCAATAGACTCTGAGGCCCCTCAGAAGTCTGGGTTCCGAAGTGTAGAAATCAACAGTTGAAAGAATTCAACAAACAGACTTGCTCCCCACCACTGATTTTTAAGATTCAGGCAGAACCCTGGCAGTAGGCTTTAAAAGTCTCCAAGGAAGGTATGAAAACCCATGGTATGAATCAAAACTAAAACTTATTTGTTGAGTGTTAAAGGTGTCAATAATTTTCATTCTACTCTAATAATTGAAGGAATAAAAATAAAAATTCAAGGACACTAAAGAAATTTCCCCTAACTCAATTTTGCCAAAATTTGGGCCCGACTACCAAGTAATGTCTGTACAATTTATAACCACAGTACCTCTAAAAATCATCCTGCACAACTAATGCTCTCCTTTGACATCTATGCATAGGCTTTTGAAGCCACCCCTTCCAAATACTTAAAAGACTCAAAAGATATAACAGAATATACATAATATATAACAAATAGGGATCAATTCTGTTTAACTATTTTGCTTATGTGAAACCTCCATGAAGTTCATGTGCTTCTCTTGGTATTTTAATCTAGTGTTAAAAGTCAAGAGACTGGTTCTCCATGAAGGGCAAAAGTGACTGAAGAGGACAAATTATTTATATTTTGGCACGGGCACCTCTTATTTCATTCAATCCGTAACTGACTAGTTTGATTTCAGTATCATAAAATACCTGTTACTGTGATACTTCCTGTTGAAAAAATCTGTAACGTAGCTCTTAGGGATTTTATCCGATAGCACACAGCAGGATGAAGTTCAGGTTCATAACTATACAAAAAAAAAACCTCACAATTAATATCAATATTTATAGCCTGACAAGCAAGTTCAAATTTGGTAGGTTATCTTGATTTTTCAAAGACCTACCTGGCATGAGGTCTATTGTTCTTTGTGAATTCTGGCAAACGGATTTCAAATGGCATGTTACATACCGCTAAAACGTTAACAACCTTAAAATCTGTAAATATTACCTTTAGGAGAGAAGTAAAACTCAATGAATTATTTTGAAACAAACAAAAATCTGCTCATCACAGTAATTCTTAATAATTAAGTTTCAATCCTTAAAAATAAAAGCAAACAAAACAAATATCTTAAGCATGGATCCAGTATTTTAAGTTACCTATGACTCCTTAAATGATACAATTAAAGAAAAAAAGAAAACCTCAAAAACCTCATTAAGAATATAAATAAAACCTGAGATATTTTCATGATTAAAATAGTTTATTGGTGGTCTTTTGAATCTTATGGTTTACTTTAATGGATATTTAATCCACTGGGATACGAGAGTGAATAGTGAAGGTAAAAATCAAAGCAGAGTCCTCCTCTCAAGAGTCCAATTGGAAGAGCTGTCACTTTAAAACTCTATAAATAGTTGAGTGCACACTAAACTCCAAAGATCAGGCTTTTTCTTATATGCAGTAAGGTAAAAAGACATTTCTGTGAGTTTAGTTAGATGTTTGTTTATTTTTGGGTATAGAGTGAGGGGTAAAGTGATAAAATTGTGCTTTTTAACTGATTGGGATTTCTCTCAACATTTTCAATTTTATAAGACAAGAATCTCCAAGGCTGAAAATGATATCAACTCCAAGTAATAACTTCGGCCATTCCTATCAACATCTTGAATGGTTTCTTCTTATTATCATCTTTTCAAACGTTCCTCATAAAACCACAATTATGGATAAACTAACCATCCTCCATCTTAGTACTTGCACGAGGCAGCTGTTTAGTTATAAAATTGTGCACATGGCACCATCATTAATTGTGTCTCTCTCTACTGCCACTCTCCACAAGCACCAACACTCCATGTCTCACCAGCACTTCAGTACCACCCTGTCACCTTCTACCTCAGGAGACTGAAATCATCGGAAAGAAACTTAACTTCCCATCATTTCCCATCCAAATCCCAAACGGCTTAGGCCCACCTCTTCAGGGACCATAGCTCACGTTTCTCTTTCTTTCATGTACTCATCATTTGCAAGTGACTTAGCAAGTCCATAATGTGCATTAATTTCATTCAAATTTATGCCTCTACAAAACGATATCTGTCAGGGCTAACGTGCCAGCAATGGTCGCTGTCCCAGTGTGAGAGCACGCCAACCAGTGTGCACGTTATCAACAGGGCCCTGCAGCTCTTTCTATTCATCCTGACATACCTAACTCCTGAGATGATAAAAAACGTTGTCTTGTATTTCATTTTTTTTCCGTAAGAAGTGAAGAAACTCAAAGAGTTGAAAAGTTAGTTAACTTGTAAGGAGACATGTCTGTCTTTTTATAAGAAAGAATTTGAGAAAAAGCCAGGATCCTTTATAAATACCCAAATGGATAAGTTTTACTACTAAATTTCTACACTGAAGAATGGTATAAAAAACCTAGAAAAAGGTCAATCATGAGAAGTTTCTATGGTGATTTCTTCAGTCTATTAAATTCAAAATTTTAAATTTACAAAAATAAATCCTTGAATATTTGCAGTTGGGATATTTTTTGAAAATGTTACCTGAAAACCTAGTTTCTGCAGACTGCGGGCTAAACGTCTGGCACCAAATTTAGCTTCTTCTTCACTACGGTTTTAAAGAAAGAAAAAGGCTGTCAGTTAGGAAATGAATTTTATACTAAGGAACATGACA